AACAAGAAGTATAGAATTCCCTAGAAGGATCAGAACTAGGCCGAAGCTGCTGCATTGGAAGAATTGCCTTTATGTCATGCCTTCCACTCTTTTATACATATAACGATTGATTTCGGGGGAACGTAAAATTGATGGGTCTGACAAGAAGGCCGGATATTTATTGTAATCAAAAATTTTAAACTACAGCATGATTAATCACATCAGACTACAATCTTCGGAGCAACCAAAAGATGCTATTTTCACAATATCAAACCACGGCGTCTCTGTTTTTATATGACTAAATTTGAAAATCACTTTTGTGATGGATATCTTGGCCGCATGTTTAATCGACTCGCCCTTAGTTTTGCGGATGGATGACAGTGATCCTCTAGTTTAGATTTCCCCTCCATTACTCTTCGTTTTTTCGCTATCATTCCCTACCAAGCCTCGAGTGCTCAACTAGTGCTATATGTAAGTAAATAGTGTGCCGCAGCGTATATATTTCGTAATTGTCCCTTTTATAAAGACATTTATAGACATCAGTGAATAAATACACTTTCAAAAAGAGTACTTAGCAGCAAATTGCCATGCCTGTGGTTTGTGGTATTACCATCAACAATATGACCACATTTTGTTGTGAGTTTCATTACACTTTAGTGTGGTGTGCATATTTTTGCTTTTACTCTTCGATTTTTTTACTTTTATTTCTTTGCTTTTACTGATTTTACCTCCGACGTATTTTTGGTCTTCATATACCCTAGTTTTTTTTACTACTCGCTACTTGGTCTGCGCATATTAGTGGCAAATATGGATGAATGAATGCGTGGCGAATACAATAAAATATTTCAAATTAATTGCGTTTAATGTTTGGCGGATGCAAACAATTTTAACGCTGTTTGCGTGTAGGTTTTTGGGAAACGGAAATCGTCAATGAGGAATTCAGCTATATAAATTGAAGCGCCTTGCATTTACAGTGCATTGCGGCATAAATGTAAGCGTGTGGGCTGCCGGATATACTACTTTTTAAATATCTGTTTCTTATAAAAACAGGTGTACAACATTTTAATAGTTTTTAAGACATATCCTGGTTTTCAGAAGGCGATAAGGAGCCTTTTTCAAAGGTGTTGGCAGCTCATGGGCAATTATTATTTATTATTATTTATTTATTAATTAATATAATTAAAAATTACAAAATTAATATAATAGCACTAGCTACCATGGCTATCGGCTTAGTCAAGAGATAATATATGTAAACGTAATGTGTATTTATATTAGATGAAAGATGTTTAAAGATTTAAGAAAGTTAGACATTAATATGATATTTGATTCAGATGGGATGGAGAGGACATTGAGCGGGTGTGCGTCTTCGAACGTTGTTGTGCGTATAGCGGCAATACCTGAGCAATGCAGTAGAATGTGACGTGTGGTTAAGTTGGCAGTGTTGCAGAAGGAGCATGTGGGCTGAGGACTTCTTGTAAGAAGGTGTTCGTGTGTGAGGAGAGCATGTCCTAGTCTTAGGCGAACGTAACATCTATTCATCCATGTTGTTGTCGTAGTAGGTAGTGTTATTGACATGCCACTAGGATTCACCTCTTTATATTCATGTTGATACTGTTGCCAGTTCAGGTGTAGGTGAGACTTCAAAGCAGTAGAGTACATCGTTTTAATTGATGAAGTGCCAAACGGATTGTAGGTGTGTAGACAAGAATTTAAAGCAAACTTCGCAGCTTTGTCAGCATATTCGTTACCAGCTATACCTGCATGTCCAGGGACCCACATTAACTTTGTATTTGGTGCTAATTTAATGAGCAGTTGTTGAAGATGGTATATTGGTCCTATTTCATAGTGAATGTTTCTTGCAGCTTTGAAGACTGATTGGCTGTCAGTGCAAATAATGACTTTTTTTGTTCCCTTCTTTTATTAAACGCAGGGCCGAAATGATACCTTGTAATTCGGCTTCAAAAATGCCGGCGTACTGTGGTAGCAAGCCATGAGATAAAGTTAAACCGGTATCATTTGTAATAGCGAATGCAACTCCGTTGTTCTGTTTGGTCCCATCTGTAAAGATTAGATTCCACCCACTTTGCATAAGAGGCGTAACTATGTTCAAAAATGATTGTTGGTATGAAGCGTTGCTAGTGTTCTCCTTCCGAAGAAGCGTCAACTCATCAATGAAACTACTTTTGTCTATGATCCATGGAGGAAGTTTGGTGTTGGGGATTTTCATGGGGACCATCTCCAGGTTTAAGAGGTCAGCGAGAGCTTTTACCTCACATAGTGCTGATTTGTGTGAGAGTGCCCTTTTTCTTCTCATCAATAGCTTGACTTCGTGGTTGAGAATGTGTGTAGAGTTGCAGAACAACTTATAAATGATACGACTTCGAAGGTATTTTATACGATCTTCCAATGATTGAAAGCCGCTTTCTGCTAGTAGATTTGTGATAGGTGTTGTTCTGAACGCACGTAAACTTCGTCGTATCGCTGCGTGAAACGGTGCTTTAATTTTATTTAACGTAGCCGTATTGCATTTTCCATATAACTGAATACCATAGTCAATTTTGCTTTGTATTATCGATTTAGTTATATTAAGTAAGGTGTTAGTATGTATACAACTTTTCTTCGATGATAAATATTTAATAATATTTAATCTGGTAGCTAGTTCACCTCTTAAACTAATACAATGATCCTTAAAACTATGTTTGTCGTCAAATATAACGCCCAATATTTTCATAGATTTGACATTGGATATTTTATGATTGTTGTACTTAATGTCTATCTGATTACAACTACGTCTTCTACAGACATGCAGATGCTTGCATTTTTCGAACGAAACGAGAGCACCTGAATGTTGAGACCATTCTTCTAAAGCCTGGAAAGCTTTTCCAAACGATTCCTCAATTTCGGAAATATTTTTATTACCACATACTAAAAATAAGTCATCGGCGTAAAGGCAATGCTTAATATTTGTCTGTTGACTCATGATTTTGCTAACGTCGTCAAACGCTATTAAGAAGAGAGTGACGGAAAGTGGAGATCCTTGTGGGATACCGTTGAGAAGCGAAAATGTAGGCGAGAGATAGCTGTTTACCTTACATCGAAACTTACGATTGCTGAGAAAAGACTTTATGTAATTAAAAATATTTTGACCCACTTTCCACTCGTGAAGTTTTTTAAGAACTATATGACAACCAATTTTGTCAAAAGCCTTGGCGAAATCAATAGCAAGGATAGAAGAGTGGTTTTTAGTAGAGAAGCTTTTTGAAAGTTGGTGGTCTAAGGAGAGTAAGGCATCCAGAGTGCTGGTGCCGTTTTTGAATCCAACCTGAAATGGCGATAAGAGCTTTTTGGTTGTTAGAAACCACATTAGCCTTTTTGAGATGACTTTTTCCATTAGTTTACTGATACACGGAATGAGGGAGATTGGGCGATAGCTTTCGACATCAGACGAGTCTTTCTGTGGCTTTAGTATAGGAACAATCACGGCTGTTTTGAAACTTTGAGGGATAATGCCGCTTTTTAGAATGGAGTTGTAGAGCTGGATGAGCCTCTGTTTTAATGAGACTGGCATATGGCGTAACATGCCGTAGTTTATTTGGTCAAAACCTGGAGTTGTACCTTTGGCTGTCTTTAGAGCATAGTCTATTTCGTTAAAGCAGATATCTCTTTCCATATGTACAGCTAGACTGTCGGTTGAGTTGGCTGCGGACATAAGCGGAATGTTACTAGCGGAAGCTATGAACTGCGGTGGAAAGTTGGAGGTTTCCGATGACTTAGAGATATTCTGAGCAAATTCTAATAAAATTGAATTGGGATCAGTGAATATTTTATTATTTATTTTAATTGAAGAAATATTTATTGGGGAGTACGTGCCCGTAAGTGTTTGTACTCCCTTCCATATACTGCGAATAGTGGAAGTGGGGTTTAATTTTTCAGTAAACTCTTCGAAGCTACGGGTTTTCGCTTGCTTTTTTACCCTGTTAAACTGAGCGTTGCGTTTTTTATAGAGTACGAAATTCTCAGGAGTGGGGCTCCTTTGATATTGTCTCCAGGCTGTTAGTTTGTCGTTTCGGAGTATACTAAGTTCTGACGACCACCACGGCACATTTCTTGAAGACCTACGACATGAACTGCGGGGGATAGCTATGTTGGCTGCTTCCCGAATAGTCTTTTGAATAATTGCAGCTTCTTTATTGGGGTTATTGTTTTCGAAAGCAGGTAAGTGTTTGGTCATTAAAAATTGATTAAATTTTTCCCAGTTTGCTTTGTCAGTGTTGTATTTAGATGCTTTATAGGGGTTGGAAACGTTAGGGATAAAAAAAGAAAATGAACAAATAATGGGAAAGTGATCACTATTGTGTAGATCCTCAAGTGTATACCAAGCTGAAATGGGAAGTAATTGTGGTGAGCATAAAGTCAGGTCAACGTGTGTGTATGTGTTGTGTGTAGAAAAATGCGTTGGGCTATTATTATTTAGTAAGCACAAATTGGAACTCAGAATAAAATCTTCAACTATTGAACCCCTATGGTTAGTTTTTGGTGAGCCCCAGAGAGGACTCCAACCGTTGAAATCCCCGCATATAATTACTGGGGTATTAATAGAGGAGGTAAGCCGTAATAAATCAGAGGACGAGATATTTTGATTTGGAGGAATATAAATGGAAAGTATAGTAATGGGATGTCTAAATGTAAACTCGACGGCAACTGCTGATAAGTTGGTAGATAAATTGATTCGTCTATGTTGAAGATTTTTATGAATTAATAGACCACAACCTTGTTTGGAGTATGTAATACCCGGGAAGTTGTGAAAATGTGCTGTATATTGCTTGGGGCAGTGTGGTGTATAATTCGCAGTAATGTGGGTTTCTTGCACACATATTATGTTTGGCTTCCGATCTTTTATTAGAGTTTCTAATTCGAGATAGTTATTATGATAACCTCTAATATTCCATTGGAGAATATTGAGAATCATTTTTGTTTATTTATTTACTTGCTATAAGTGTTATTTTCTTTTGGAAAATAACCTATAGCGTGGGCTCTTGAAGATCATTATCCATATCGTCATTATGTGTACCAGAGATTGTGTTGAGAAGAGAGTGCAGAATGGAGTCAGGTTGCGTGGTGGATTCAAAGTTTGAGTTGTAGGATGTAAGAGATGTAGAGTAGTCATTAGAAGTATGAGTTGAGGAAGCGTTGTGTGTTAGAGATGTATTAATCTCATTGCTATTGTTTTTATTAGAGTCTAATGAGTGTTCAGGTGGTGAGTTTTGGGGATGCACTTGAGAAATAGAGCTCCAGTTTGCAGCCGGAGTTGTAGTGAGCTGTGTGAATGAGTTAGTTGGGAGAGATTGTTGTGTAGATTGTGTGTTGGCTGCTGCCGATGTATGAACGTGAGTGAGTGACTTAACTGAGTGTGAGTGAGCACTAGAAAGTGACTCGTTCGGTTGGTATGAGTGAGATTGGATAGAAGAGATGTGTGGTTTGGGGATACCTGTTGAGTTACCGACTGAAGAAGTGAGATCGGTCGGGTTTTGTGAGAGACTGTGTTGAGCGGCTTGTGTTGAGTTTAGAATTGATGCATATGTTTGATCTTGATTCACGTTAATGGGATTTTGAATTTTGTAAAGGCGTCTAGCTTCAGGGTAATTGCATTTATTTTGAGTTTTAATTTTTAGTACTTCCTTTTCTTGCAAGTACTTTGGGCAGTCTTTAGCAGAGGCAGGGTGGGGGCCATAACAGTTGGCACACATCGTTCGTAAACAAGGCAAGTCATTGTGAGGGGGGAAGTTGCATCTTTCACAGGTGGAGTTGTTGCTGCACCTTTTCATAGTATGACCCAACAGTTGGCATGAGCGACATCTCATAGGATTAGGAAAGTACTCTTCTACTCTCACTGAATACCATGCTATGTCGATCGACTGAGGTACTTTGTACAAATTAAATGAAAGCACGATTCTGCCTGTTGGAATTTTTACATTGTCAACAGTTTTGGTAAATTTGTATATAGCCACAACGCCTTGTGGTTTAAGAGCTTCTAGAATTTCTTGTTCGTCGGTGTGTGCCAGATTTTTGTCAAAAATTGTACCTTTGCAAGTATTTAGGGAATCGTGGAAGTTGGCAGAGATAGGGCATAGTCCGCCAAAGTTTTTGCATTTAATGAACTTTTCAGCTACTTTGAGGGATTTTGCAAGAATAAGTAAGCTGTCATCACGGAGAATACTCACTGACAGGTACTCTGTGCTTATACAATCAAGTGCCTTCTTTTTTGCGAAAACGCTAAAACTTGACAATGGCTTGGACGCGTCAGTGGATTTTATAATAATAAATTTCGGATCGGTGCTATTGTTGTTAGTGCTCACATCTGGAAGCGCTGGAAAATGTGCTTTCGCGGTCGCTTTTTTGCGTTTTGCTTTCGGGGAATTTAGCATACCTTCAGCAAGTATGCTATAACGATTCCCCGAGGGAATCGTTGACATATTTTCCATATGCACACAGAATAATTTGGTTAACACTTACGGGGGGATAAATTTATGATTTATATATTGAGATTGGGAAACGCTAAACACGTTTAAATTGCTCACTGAAACACAAACACGCTCAACTGTGGTACGCTAGCTAGACACAACTGCACGGCGCGAGAGTTAGTCGGTGACTGCATGGGCAATTAAATATTTAAAATATATTGCGTGAGAATAAAGGGAACTTAAAAAGCGAGTGACTTTTAGAATTTGCCGCGCAGCAACTTTTAATGTAATGCTGGTCCCTCAACTGACATCAATTAATAGACCACTGTAAAATTTTGACAAGCTCCGCCATTTAGCTGATTAAGCAACTTTTTGCGTGAAAATCCAGTACCGAGTCCAACGAAAGGCTTGTTAAATACAATAGGAATTCTTCACAATCAATTTCAATGGTTAAAAAGTAGTTAACTTAGTTCCGTTGTGGTCATACCAACACAAGTCACTCCGAATGTTCAGGCCGCCCAAAAGAGGACGTCGGACCATCGGAGAATGAAAGTGTGTCGGGTGACTGAGGCTATTCGCATCTCAACTGAGTGGGTATTTGGATGTAAAAATGCTATTCGCGCGTTGGGTGCCACCACGCCAGTGAACACTCGAATATAAAAGCAACCATATAACCACTTCAAAGAAGTGTTGGCGATGTTCAGCAGCAAACCGAATGAGTTTTTGCACCGTTACCGTTGGCGAAGCATGGATCCACCACAATACACCAGAGACCAAGGAACATTCAAGAAATGCTCCAAATAACGCCAAAGGGCGTCTGTCGGCCAATAAGATCATGCTCACAGTTTTTTTTTTTGATACACACGGTGTCATTCACATCGATTACCTTGAAAAGGGTAAAATGATCAGAGCAGAGATTTTGGACAGATTCGATATTGACACATGTGTATAGTCAAAATAGAAATAATCTATCAATTGGACTTCGAACTTTTACCCCATACCCCATATTCACCAGATCTAAAATAATAAAAACTATCATGAGACGAAATCATGTTTCAATATCCGATTCTTAAAGGGCTCACTAGTTTGTCTCTGCCAAAATCCTTATACCTAACTCTGCCAAAAGCGGGGATGAGTCACAAGAAATGTTCTATCTGCTAAACGAAAGCAAATATCTACTTACATGTGCCGTCTGATGCCTCAAAGTCATTGATGGCGAAAATACTCACCCAGTGAATGCCTGGTCTGAGCCATCTTTAGCTAAGTGGTTAAATGTATTAGTCAAAATAATTCCCGAAGGTATTGGCACCTGGAGTAAAACGGGTCGAGACTTGCGTTGCATAACTATTTTAGAAGTAGTTAGAGGGTTGGCCAATGACTTGAGTGCAGCTTGAGATACGTAAACAATTACTTGTTCACCTATTTTCTAACACGTAGCCTAAGGCCTGGGGAATTGTAAATTAGCCAACATGAAATACGGAGTCATAACTACTATTCGGTGTAGACTCCAAATCCTGGCCATGTCTCGGTTTTGAGTAAAGAAAGTGAGAAAGTAAGTAAGCCCGGGCTCGGTGCTGACATTTAACCAGCACTCAAAACCAGGAAACACAACGTTGTAGAATCTCTACAGTAAAGGCAATGGTGGTGTATTATCTTGGGGCATTGAAAAGATATACATAAACGCCAGCAGAAATTTCTACCGCGACCCACTCAGTGGCATATGAACATTGAGGCCTTTAATGCCTCCCAAAATATGTTTGTATGTATAAGTACAAGGATACAAAGTGTTGGGAAGTGAAGCAGTGCAGCCAAAGCTGTGTTAGCCGTTGTAAAGAAGGCTCCCTACAATACACGACGCCTATACTTTGAATTTTGGCAAGCTGATTTCCTACGATATTGACTGAGATTCTGCTCCACCATACTACTGATGCATAGCTCATAATGGCTCTGACCACGGATGAGTATATACAGATGAACCCCTTCGGTGACAGGCCACGCGTTTTATCAAAGAGCTACATATTTATGTTGCAAATGAAGCCAAGCCTTTCGGGAACTTATGCTTAATGTAAGCCTTCCATGCAAGTTGGTTATTCAGAACTATGCCGAGATACTTTATTACGAATTTAATCTGAATTAGGTCCTCTTTTAATCAAAATTTCTTAGGAATTTTTGTTCCGTTTTGACAGTATCTTTTTATGTAAGTAATCTTAGACATAAGACTTATAATTTTTCAAAAATTTCCTCACAAACCATTTAACTCTCTTCTCACTTACCGTATTCAATTTCTCCATGAGAACACTCATTTGATTTTTCGTACACATCTTGTACGCGTTGTTGTCGTCGTCGTCTTAGTTGTTGCTGTTGTAATTGTTGCACTTTTGATTGTTGTAGATTTTGCGCACTTGATTGTGATTGATGCCTGTTGGCCATTCACAAAATTGCACAATCAAAACTGTTGTGTGAAAATTCCGAAAAAAAGTGGACAAATGGATAAAAGCCAAGGCGCGCGGACACAAAGAAATGAACACACAAAAAAACGGATGAAAACACAGGGCAAAAGCAAAGCAAAAAAATAAGCAAAATAAAATACATAAAAGCGAATGTACGCAATTTAAATCGGTTAACGCGTAAGGAAAAAAAACAACAACTACGACAATAATATGGGCCTTGCGACGGTTTCAGCGCCACTCGACGACTGTGGTGAGCTGGTCAGTTCAGAGGTCGTGCGAAGCGAGTACGTGAAGGTTTGTGGCGGGTTATTGTGCTTTAGATTTTTTCGTGATTTATTTTTTCTTGTTTGTTTTTATTTATTTTTTGTTTTATCGTACAACAAGTTACTTTTAAATTGCCCACTTTGATGTTACTGTTGATTGTTTAATTGCTTAATTTTTGCGTAGACTTGTTACATTGATTGGCCGGCTCGCCCGTCGAATTGCTTTAGTTTTTGATTGTTTTTGTTTTTTGTATTTTTTTCAGGAATTTTCGGAGGCACGCACCGAGCAATTTACTTATGCAATACCACGCCTTCTCGGAAATAATTTCAGCTTACAAAATTCATGTGGTTTTTAATTGTTCGCAAGATTCAAATGAACTGATAAATATTTTGAGAAAAACTGATGAAAAATAAATTGATGATAAGATTGCAAGAAAAAAGAAACCCGCCATGCGGCGCCAGCTTTGCTATGAGCACAACAAAAAAGCGCAGCTACACGTCGGAGACGGTCGCCGAACTAAATAAATTTGCTTTTTTCTCCTTCCTCTTCTTCTCCTATCTTCGAGTATGTTTGTATGGTAATTTACACCGGCCAGCATTTGATATGCGATTACATTCAGCGTTGTAAATTCAGCTTGGCGCGCAGCCTACCTCTAACTCACTCGCTAGTCTGTTTGTTTATTTCATTGTTGTTGTTAGCGTCAATTCGAAAGTGAAAAAGTGCCATATGGGTTTAAAAGGAAAAATTATATATCTAAGATTAAATTAAACCTGATTACCCGTTTGGCTTATTCTTAACCGTAATCTTAATCTTAATCTTAATGTTAACCTTTGTTTTAACCTTACTCTTATTCGAATTCTTAATCTCAAACTCAATCTCAATCTTAATCCTAATCTCAATTTCAATCTTAATCTCAATATTAATCTTAACTTTCATCTTAATCTTAATCCTAATCCGAATCTTAATCTTAAACTTATCCTTATCCTTAATCTCAATCTTAGTCTTATCTTTAATCTCAATCTCAATCTTAATCTTAATCCTAATCTTAATTTAGTCTCAATCTTAATTTTAATCTTAATATTAATCTAACCTTTAGTAATAATCTTAATATCAACCTTAATCTTAATATTAATCTTAATTTTAGTCTTAATCTTAATATCAATATTATTTCTCAAATAAATAAATAATCTCAATTGTAATCTAAATCTCAACTTTTATCTTAATCTTAATCGCAACTTTATAAAAATTAGAAACATTTCTTCAAGTGCACACACGAAAAATGTTAGCTTACAACCAAAACGACTGTCTTTAAGTTCTTCTTATTCCCTCTCCGGGCCTCCAAACTCATCAAACATAACCGATAACTCGCAGTCATTTGAAACCATTGGCGTAGCCAGAATGAAATTTAAGGGGGCTCGACCCTATTAAGCTGGCATTTCAGGGTACTATTTTATATATATATAAGGAAAATTTGAATGTTAGGCTGGCTACGCCCATGTTTGAAACATTTGAATTACCAGCAAAAAATAATTTAACATTTGGTGGCACCACATGTGTTTTGTAGTGATTAGCAGTTATAGGAAACTCAAATGTTGTAGTTGTTGCTCATTTTCTAATTTTTTTTTTTTTAAGTTTTACTAGCTCTTTCATTACCAATTCCCTTACTTGCTAGCGTGTTTTTGCATTTAGGTTTTTCTTCTTCGCTGGTCGTTGTAAATTTTCTAACTAAATAATTCATCTTCGCTGGCTCTACAGGTTTCGTGTTTAATTTTTGTTTTTAAATTTTTATTAGTTAATTTCAATTTCGTTTTCGTTTTCATTCGCTTGAATGAGAATGAAAGTGATTTTGGTGTATTGGCATGTTGAGGGGGTATTTATGCTAATGATTTTGATAAATTTTTGTAACTGATTAATGTATAAGAAAATTGAAAGTTTTGAAACACTTTCGAGTCAAGCGTTTACACTGACTAGAAATTTTGGTTTTTTGTAAGTAAATTATGAAAAATTTAGCAATTTGTTTCTTCGGTTTAGTGGCATGTGTACACTAATGAGTATTACTCTTATCAATGGTATGACTGAGCAACCATCGTAACTTTGATGTAAACTTGAGATCCTACGGGTAAACGTCCCTTATGGCTGGAAGTTAGCTTGATTTCCATCAATATTCGTTCAAAACCTTACCCGTGCTCAAAGGCCAGCTTAAAGAGTTATTTCATCTTGGTATATCCATTTTATCGTTGCTCTAATTGTGCATGAGGTTAAGAAGTTAGAGATAGCTTGTCCTTCAGCCTAGATTCC